TGGGATCATGACCTGAGCCGAAGGCAGATGCTTAACTGCCTGAGCCACCCACGTGCCCCTTAAGATTTTATTTTTAAGTAATCTCTACACCCAATGTGGGGCTCGAACCCACAACCCTGAGATTAAGAGTCACATGATCCACTGAATGAGCCAGCCAGGCGCCCCAGGGTCTACTTTTATTTTAAATGCTCCAATCAGAAGATTCTGAAAATTCCCAAGCCTCTTCTTACAAGGGAGACTGCAGGTATGATGGAGATTGAGTTGTCTAGGAAAAATGGTCATCATGACTTGAAGGAATCTTACTGCCTACTTTACTCTCAAGATGTAGCCAGCACTCCATGGAGGGGGTTAGGCATCACTGGGGAAGTGGGGAGAGAAAGGAGATTGCAGAGGAAAGGGATTCCCAGGCTCCCACTCAAGAAAGACTCTGTAAAGACTGTCAGGCAGCTCATTGGAAAATTAATATTTCACCTGTGAACATCCTTTGGCCTTCTTGTGTATCTGGACTAGTAACTAGTAAGATCCTCTTTGGTAATGAACTGTGCCTCCTTCTCAGACTTTTGGCAGAAGAAAGGGAGGATATATTTGATTATGAACTGCATCCAGCTGATCATGTTGAACCATGGAAACAGTGAACCTGCTCTTCAGTCCTGACCAATGGGAAATGCTTGCTATATTGGGGGTGTGTGTGTCTAGTTAGAAACAAGATACAGTCTTCCATAATACATCCTTCACCTGGCTCTTCCAGAGACATGATCAAGGAAGGTCAACTTTTCCTTAAAGTGTTAGCAAAAAGCTGGGTCATGAGCATCCATTATTTTTGGACAACAGTAGGTGATGGACAAGGAAGACACGTAACTAACATCATGTGTTTTTGCACTACGTGGATCATGGTCCTTCAGGAGTTTACTGTTGATAAGACAGTTGCCAATATGCTACAGATTTGTGTCGGGAACACCAAAGAAACAGAAATCAATCATTTGTGAAGAAGCAGAACAATCCTCTATTAGACTTTGTATATTATCAAAAAAGAGCACAAGGGAAGGTCAAATCTACCCTCCAAGTTCCTAATTATAATTCAGAGAGCCAGGAGGGAAAGGGAGTGGAGAAAAATTAAAAAAAAAAAAAAAATTAAAAAGACTGCTTGGAGTTTGGGAACACTGAATAGAGACTGAAGATAGAAAATTTCTGTCTTTGATGTCAAACATCAACATAGTCACTTTTTTCCCCCTAAAGGCATTTAATTTTGTGGGATTGAATCCTTCTTTCTGATGCCTAGAAAAATATAAATGCCATCAACTGTTTGATCTCATCTGGGTAGTTGGAAGGCTCTTTGTTTGTGGGTAGGGAATTTAACACCGCAAAAAGCACTAAAACCCTACAATATGCCAGCTTCGAATGATTCACAGCAAACAGTCACAATGCAGGTCAGATGGTGCATTTCTGATGTAAAAAAGAAAAAAAAGGATTACTTAAAAGTGTCTATCCAGAAAACACAAGACATTTGTATTATTCGTCATCCACTGAAAGCTAAGTAGCATTGGGATATGGTTATTTTAAGTTACAGTTTGAAAAACCTAACCCAGTGATTTCTGAAAACAAACCAAAAAAATGTGCTAATTTAAATGGTTTTGAAAATTGGCACAAAGGAGAAAAAAGGGCCTTTCATGTGATGTATAAGGAAAATCTGTTGAAGAAAATTAGCTCCTGCAGGACTAGGATTGATAATGTGACATTTACTCACTTTGATCTAAATTTAACATCTACCCACGTTTTCACCATTCCAGTGCCCTTCTGGTTACTATAGTGATCATACCTTGCAACTCAACATTTTATTCCTAGGTAACAGACAACAATTGTGGATACCAGGGAGGGCATAGGTAAAAATCTGCCTTATTAAATGCTATCTGGGGACGCCTGGGTGGCTCAGTCAGTTAACCCTCTGCCTTCGGCTCAGGTCATGATCCCAGGGTCCCGGGATCGAGTCCTACACTGGGCTCCCTACTCAGCGGGGAGGCAGTTTCTCCCTCTCCCACTCCCCCTGCTTGTGCTCTCTCTCTCTCTCTGACAAATAAATAAATAAAATCTTAAAAAAAAAATACTATCTGGAGTTTCCTAAGTGAAAAGCATCTCTCTCTTCCCTGCTCCCTCCCCCTCTTTTCAGCATGTTTTAGCTTGCTACACCTAATGAGGAGATTGAGATACTCCCAAGGTAAGTTGTAAAAGCAGACTCAAGAAGCATGTTTAGGCACCAATTGTGAGTGTAAGGACCTTGACTTGATGGAATAGCATGGCTGGGGAAACAAAAAATAAGGGTTCTAAAATAAGTACTTTTTGGGGCACTGGGTGGCTCAGTGGGTTCAGCATCCAACTCTCGATTTTGGCTCAGGTTATGGTCTCAGGGTGGTGGGGTGGCGGGGAGTCTGCTTCTCCCTCTCCCTCTGCCCTTCCCTTGCCTCGCAAGTGCACTCTCTGTCTCTCAAATAAATAAATAAAAATCTTTAAAATAAGTACTTTTCAGTTGGAGCTGACCTAGAAAGTCACTCCTGATGTTTAATGAAGCTGTGGACAAAAAATACCCTCAATAGTTGGAGCATCTGTTCTGTCTAGTAATGTACCATATTCAATGTTTATTCTTCTTCTAATATAGACAGATCCATGATGTAGGGAGATTTTTTTTTTTCCACAAAAGCAACTTGCATTTGAAACTTCCAGATAAATGCAGAAGAATCCCCTGACCACTGAAAAGACAAATAGTAATTACTTCATTATATTGTGCTCCATACTTTCTTTTTTTTTAAAGATTTTATTTATTTTTTGACAGAGAGAAAGACAGCGAGAGAGGGAACACAAGCAGGGGGAGTGGAAGAGGGAGAGGCAGGCTTCCCGCGGAGCAGAGAGCCCGATGCGGGGCTCGATCCCAGGACCCTGGGA